TTTTATCAAGGCTAAAATATGTATAAATAAATAGCAGACACCGATTGAATCAATGTAGGATAGAAGAGGATGTAAAAATAAAATAAAAAATATTATCTCAGTATTGAACCTACAAGTTACAATTACATTTAATTGTTGTAGAAAATTACTTAAAATTTAAATGAAATTAATAAAAATAACTTTGAAAAATTACACTATGCAAATTGAAATTTTAAATAATATACACTTACTTGAAAATCTTTTACTTTTCTGTAATTTATATATATATTTTCTTTTTTTTATAACGAGAAGCATTTGGTTTCCAATATACTAATGTAGTATTATTAACTTTAAACAGTTTACATTAAAATACAAATAGAAAGCTTTTACATAATTTTCTTTGGAAATTTTACTTCACTAATATCTATCTAATATCTAATCTTATAACAAAGTAGACGAACTAAATTTAAAGTTACATAAACTAAAATACACCAAATAGTTCTAAGAAGAATATGTGAAGCAACTTACCATTGTAGTAGAAGTCACTTATCAACTCCATCGCTCTTCCCCCATCATCAGAATTTGGACAAACCTTTTATGGGTCTTTCTCCTTCAAGGATCAACCAAAAGCAGGTGCAACAAAATGAAACATTAATTATTAAAACTTCTAAGTATTATCAACTCTTTCAATTTCAGAATTTATAATTTTAATTATTATGTTTTTTTAATGACAATAAATTATGGGGAAGNTTTAAGGAAAAACGTAATTGTAAAAGAGAATTACCAAATAAGTAAAAATCTACATAAATTGTGAAAATGCATTAATGAACAAACAGGAATAAAAAGTATTATCAAAAAATATTTGCAGAAATTAAATGAAAAGTGTTTATAAATTTCAATTTTCAAAAGCAATTAAAATAATTCCTTGTCAGAAGCAATCAAAGTAATAGACCAAAAGAAAAAATAAGAGAAGTTAGGTGAATATAAGAGATAAAGTTATTTTGAAGATATAAATTTAAATAAGTATAAAAAACAATAATTGCTTTTAAGAAAAAACGTAATTGTAAAAAAAAGAATTACAAAAATAAGTAATAATCTACCTGAAATGTGAAAATGCATTAAATGAACAAATATGTAAAAACACCTGAAAAAAAAATACTCAAAGTTGCTTGTTTCCATAATGTTCTGAATACTAAAAAATGAAAGGTAAAACTAAAACTAATGTTACAATACAATCTATCAATATAAGTCTTGAAATAAAACACAGACTGATTATTATAGTCAATTAGGATAATTTATGTGTGTGAGAGGGATGATGTGTACAAGTGAATGAATATAGGGTGAAAAAGAGTGTATCTGTGAATATGAGGAATGTGAGAATATGAATGAAAGGGAGAGAGGAAATGAGGGTAAGGATGTGTGTGAGTGAAAGAGGTTGTAAATATGAATGATTATTTATGCTTGTTATCATCTTAGGTTGTAACTACTTTCTTAAAATATTTTTTTTTGTTACAGCATCCATTTTAAAAAAAGATTGTTTCGAGTATTTTTTTGGAGCATGGTACCCAACCTGGACAATGCGTGCAGTGAAGAAATTGAAGCGTCTAAGAGGTCGATGGAAATATCATGGATAAGAAAAGGTTACAAATCAGGTGGTTTTGGAAAAAGCAAGAGAACAATAGGAGCTATGGAAATCAACAAGAAATAAAAGAGGAGATAAGATGGTAGGACATCTTTTGAGACATGAAGTTGCAGCTACCGACTTATTATAAGTAGAAACTGGAGTAAAGAGAGGCAGAAGAAGACCTAGAACTACAGGTGCATGCAAATATCGATGATTAATTGTTCTGCGATGTACACCATCAATTTGTATCAAACTCAATTTGTACGTATACAGAGGATGGGCTATGTAGTATCGCGAAAGCTGTGCTTGCGTCCAGGACTGTGTCCTTTGACCTGATTTTTCCATTACGATGGCAATCTTAAGCAGTATTGACCTTAAGGAACATGTGAGTACACAAATATTTTTAAGATTTTGATGTAAGGAATGTTTAATGTTTAATTTCAACTTAAGATTTTATTGTATTAAAAGGAGA